TGGATATTGTGTACATATTTTTTCACCACATTTTTGTGACGATGCAAACGACATTCGCCTAACGCTTCGTCTAACCCAGCTTCCACCCCATCACCTGATTCCCATTCCACGAGACTTGACTTCCGAATCCATAAATGTTCATCATTCTTCAGCTAAAGTTTGAACCCAGTTGCTCCTTGCAAAGCCAACTAGCGAAGCGGGGGAAGTACAAAAGGATCAGAACTTGGCGTACAAAGTGGTGCATGGTGTTGGCATTTGACAGCGAATTCTAAACAAAAAAAAAAAAAAAGAAAAACTCGGGAAGGGTGACACGAGAAATTGCCGAAATCGTCGACACGCACGCATAGAAACACAAACATGAACCTTACCTAGTGGCTGAAATAGTAGCGAGTATTCAATTGGCGCCAGTAGTCGATCTTCAGAAACAGACAGGAAACTGACTGATGAGTAATAGAGAAAAGCAGGCCAAAGTAAGAATTAGCCCTTCTGCCATTTCCCTTAAACCGGACTGGCCAATGTATACAGCCCGCGAAAAGAGTAGTGACGGATGATCCGAAGTTAGCTTGATGATTGAAATTAAAAGTTACCGTAATTTTGCACTCTTTCTTTCTGCATATATATATATATATATATATATATATATATATATATATATATATATATATATATATATTGGACTCTCCCGTCGGTTTCAATGTATGAGAATCTGACACATTAACTGATTCAGTTATGAAATTTTGTACAAATAAGACCCGCTAGTGATTTACAAAGGATGCCACATATGGAGCAAGAGTGAGGATTGTGAGATAAGATCATTGTTAGATTGGCAGACCTTTTAGATCTTGCTCTCGCTTCTTGAAGATGATTCAGACAAACAGATTGAAAACTGCTGAGTCCACTACAACACGTTCATCTCCATTCTACTTGGACATGGGCACAATATTGTGACCGTGTTTTGAAAATGAAAACATATAAATACATACAAAAACAATATATTTCTTGTTAACAGTTAATATATTTCAACCTTGAAAATGGGTAAATGTATAGCCGAAAGCGCTCGGATAAAAAAGAACAATTAGATGGTTTTTATATAATTTATTATCCGAAAAGAAAAAAATAACTTATTCGATCATCCGAAAAGAAAAATTTAATTTATCATTCGAAAAGAATAAAAAAAATTATCAGATTACATGAGAAATTGTATAAAAAACTAAATGAATGCACCTTGTCTGGCGTATTCAATGAAATGTGCATGAAAGAAGGATTTCTGTCTAAATACACAAATTGTATGTGTATATATATATATATATATATATATATATATATATATATATATATATATATATGTGTGTATGTATGATACCGGGTCACTCGTATTCGAGGATACCCTTCTGCTAGGGCGGCTAGGCAATCCCCATTGCAGACTCTCGCTCAGGCACATTTGTGTTTTTCAACATCCACAGAACCAACCTGTGCTTTGTACTGCAATTCTGCTGAGCAGACCTTACGTACAGTTTCCGGGAGAGAGCTTGTTATCTAGAATGATCAATACTCTGAACAATAGTAGCACACTCAAACCCTCGGTCACGATGACTTGTGATTTCGTTCTAGCCCAACGTGTCCTGTCTACCCAATTTCACACACAAGGCTTGGGTCAACTCGTGGTATGGTTTTCAGGCAATTTCCACCGGTGCCGCACGCTGGGATCGTCGCCCCTTCAGACCGATAACACCATGAAGGCTCCTTATATATATATATATATATATATATATATATATATATATATATATATATATATATATATGTATGGTGGAAGTCGACTCGTGACCGATTAAGACGATCTATTGCACTCAAACTTTGTCGTCGATGACATCTCACATGACTTTTAATTTCCCACTTCGCCGAGCAGTCAGTGTTCTTGCTGCAGCATACCTTTCTGGATGCTGATCTGTCGAAATATCGTCTAAGTCCGCTCGCTGATCACGATGTCAATATATATATATATATATATATATATATATATATATATGTATGTATGTAAATTATATATATATATATATATATATTATAAATTAACTGATTTAAAATATGGTTTTTAGCTACACAATAATAACCATGTTTCAAAAATGGAAGCTAAAAACTTTAAATTTAATTATATAATTAAATTAAAAGCATTAGTTCGTTTAATCTTCAAGCGAACATTGGTTTCCAAATAATTTATAATATTTATGCTCTGTAAATTTACATTTATCATTTTTTTTGTGTAAATAAAAAAAAAAATAACAAGAACACCGGATTATATATCTTACTGTTCTTTCTTTTATATATATATATATATATATATATATATATATATATATATATATATATAGATTCATTTCTGTAGTTCACTGCCAACAGCAAGCAGAAATATTTCTCCTCCCGATGATGGCCATTTCGGTCGAAACGAATCGAGGAATCTAAATGGAATAATAATAATAAAAAACGAAAGAATATTAATCTACAACCCAGTGTGTCTAATGATTTTAATTTTTTTATTTTCTTTTCAAAAATATATATATATATATATATATATATATATATATATATATATATATATATATATATATATATATTCAGTTGTATGCATATGAGATTGTGACCCTGGGGTTTCACGCTTTTGCGATCATCAGGCATATCGTTTTTTTTTAGAATTGGATTCAGGCTTTGGGTGTTTGGTGGTGGGAGGGACATTTTCTTCTGTGTTTCTTTGGAATGATAATCTCACACACATAGGCACACATACCTACAGGTGTACGTATTTTAGTTCACACAAACACACCCATATAAACAATGCGAGGTGAGGCGCAAATACACAGCCATGAGTTCGAGCATATATATATATATATATATATATATATATATATATATATATATATACGCAATTGTCATTCTATTTCGGTGTCGAGACTGTAGTGTTTCTTATATGTATCGATGTTCATTCAAGAATTATCAGGTGCCGGTGTTCTTGACGATTTTCAGATCGGCCATCTACGCCGTCAGTCAAGGCTACACTTCCTCACACACACATACACATACACATATGTAAACGCGCTCATGCACATCTATTGGTGTGGGTCTTCCACCAACACTTTGGTTAAGTTGGGTTCTTTTTTATGGACATATATATATATATATATATATATATATATATATATATATATATATATATATATATATATATATATTAATTAAAAAGAATATCATAGGTAATATATTTTTTTTGTTTTTGTTTGGAGGTCCTGAAGACTGAGAGCTGTTCTTTAAAACTTTCATGAAATAAAAATTATTTCCTATGAGATTTTAAGTGTTTATTATTCTTTAAATAATAATTTTGCTCTGTCTCTTGACATAGTGCTCTCCCTGGAAATTCCATACGGATTACCATATTGTATCATTACTATATATATATATATATATATATTAATTTCGATAAACGTGCAATCAATTTACAAATTCATGAATTATTCACACAAAAACAAATGCAAAGGTTAATGGTTTAATTGGCGAGAAATCCATCGTCGCAAACAATTCAAATAATATACAAAAACCTCCGAATCCGTTATGAATGAAAAGATCCTTGTTTCTATAAATTCCTGCCGCATTAGTTCTTATTTTTTTTTACTACAAGCTTTCGTCTGTTCCTACAGACATCTTCAGGTATGGAATAGATGTTGTTCTTGCTTTTCTCTTAGTAATAAGAGGAGAACGAAAATATATGCATTGTTGTATCCGAAAATGCTATTGGAAATGAGTTATATAATTTAATATATATATATATATATATATATATATATATATATATATATATATAATAAATCAAGGAGAAAACCTTAACGATCCGTTTCGATTATAATCTATTTTGTGAATATTTCTATATATTCATCTCTTCACACAGAAAGATCTTTAAAAATGGAGATCATTTCACTGGACTGAGATACGAGATTAACAGGAGGGAGAGAAAGCGAGAAACGAATTATCTCCATTTATTGAGAACTTTTCGGCCTGCAAACATGAATATATAGAAAACATTCATGAAATAAATATATATATATATATATGCACATGTTTCGTTAAATACGACTGACAATGTAGTGCAATTAAGCTTTTTATTCAATTTATTTTGTGTTCATAGAAGTGTTTGCTTTTTTGGACGAAACTGTCCAAATTAAAAAGTAAAATAAAACCATCCTTGATAATGGCTAGAAGTATTTGCGTCCCGATAAAGAAAACACTTGTATAAATACAAGAAAAATTAAATAAAAAGCTTAATCGCAGTTCCTTGTCAGTCGCCTTTAATGAAACATGTATAAATGAATGATTGCTGCCTAAATGTACAATATATGTACAGACTGTGTCCAAATGTTCTTTAATTCCGAGCGCTTTCGGCTATAATTTTAGCCATCATCAAGGATGATTTTATTTTTGCTTTTTAATTGGGTGTGTAGGTTGTGTGTATGTTTTTAGAGTTATTGGGATGATTTATTTTCCAAACACAGCACATTGTGGCCATGTTCGTAATTAATATTATTACAAGTGTTGACTTAATATAAATATATATATATATATATATATATATAAGTTATGAAAAATTTGGTAATCCCTATGGATCGTCACAAGGAGGATGAAATCCTGAGAGCTCAATGTAAATCAATGTAAATTTTAAAGAAAAACAGACGACTTTAAGGTACCATTATAATAATTTATTTCACCAGAGCCCTTTGAAAGGAAGCCGGATCGTCAGATAGCACTTCCATTTTCATTTTTCGTTTCATCATCTGATGATCCGGCGTCCTTTAAAGGGATCTGGTGAAATAAATTATTATAATGGAACCATAAGGTCGTCTGTTTTTCTTTATATATATATATATATATATATATATATATATATATATATATATATATAGGTGTATCAAAAATACGTTTAAAAACTTTCAGGGCGTGCTTATTTTTAAAAGTCCATGTATCTATCTATCTATCTATCTATCTATCTATCTGGATAGTGCGACATCACCGTGCATCGATAGTCTCTTTCATCTTTCCACGCAATATTGTGTTCAGGCATGAAACAGACTGACGCTGCTCGGTGATGACCTAACTTTCTATTTTTAGATTTACATACACTCCATCTTCGATATTGAACACTTTTAGCCATAAATATAGCATGCATATATATATATATATATATATATATATATATATATATATATATATATATATGTGGGATGGGGGCGAAGGAGAAAGAGATAGATTATCAATAATGAACTAGGATAATGGACATAGAGGCGCAGCTGACAACCCCCTGAGGTACAATATTCTCTAGTTTTACAGTCTGTTGTGTGGGGTTCCATTTCGGGCAGTGTCTTCGTGTGGGTGGGGGCGTTAAAAGAAATAACAACAGCAGCAAAAATAAAGTAAAACTGACATGCATTGGTTTCAGCCGTGCCGGAATTTAAACCGGCAACGAACGCTGTTAGACGGCCGGAAGTGACGTCAGGCGGCTGAGCAAAAACAAAAACTCTTTGCAGACGCGCACTGTGCGATTTCATGTTATTGTAAATAATTCGTACCAGTAGACATTACCAAACCGAGGCTGCTGCTCAGGGGAGTAAACACACACACACACACACACACACACACACACACACACACATTAGCACACGGATATAGACAATAGACACAAACACACCTATAAACATGCACAAAAATATCACACAAATGCCTACGCAAATATATGTTGAAATTCTCACGAAACACATGCGCATACACACAGACAAACACATACTAAAAACGCATGCACATGTACACAAACACTCATACATGCACAAAGACACGTACACACACACACACACAAAATACGCAGACGTGCATACGCAACACACATATACAAGCGCATACATATATAAATACATACCCAACTAAAATACACAAAAGCACACACTGGTACAAAACATACACACAGGCGCGTACAACCACACACGCAAAAACGCATATATTTGCACACACAATCGCATACATACATACACTCACAAAAACACATATGCATACACATACACACACACACACACATAAACCGACTCACGCAACTACATACGTACATGCTCACACAGTCTTATACACAATTACACATGTGTAATTTTTGTGGAGGTTGGACATTGTGAAAATAGACAAAAATTGTCCAACATTTGGATATTTTTTTATTAAGGTCTTTCTTGATCTAAGACTTCGGCTCACATAAGCCATCTTTTGAGCGTTTATACGGACATTTAAACCAAGATATTCACCATCAAAATATATATATATATATATATATATATATATATATATATATATAATTATTTATTTAAAATATGATTCCAACTCGCGACATAAGAGGTCTCATGTTTCAAAACAAGAGCCGAAAACTTCAATATAATTATTTGAATTAAATTGATGTCGCGAGTTGGAATCATATTTTGAAATAAATAATTATATTTATGCTCTACTTTTGTATCGAGCACTATTTTTAAAAATAATAACTAAAATACAAAAGGAACTTTGGATTATTTACCTAACCAGTTCTTTCCTATTTTCTATATATTTTCACACACACACACACACACACACACACACACACACACACACACACACACATATATATATATATATATATATATATATATATATATATATATATGCATTTCATTGAATACGGCAGAGAAGGTGCTTTTATTTAGCTTTCATACAAAAGAAATTGTATAAAACACTAAATAAAAGCACTTGTCGTATTCAATGAAATGTGCATGAAAGAAGGATTGCTGCCTAAATACACACACACACACACACACACACACACACATATATATATATATATATATATATATATATATATATAAACAAATGTGATAAGTGAACCGACAAGGTGTTCCCTTTGATTCTGTATTGTATGTTTCCAATTTTCGGATGTGTATAAATTGTCTGAAATTCATGTTGTATTATTGCTTTTTTCAAGTACTTTCGGCGGACTTAGTTATTTTCAAGAACCATGTCTTGTCTGTGTGGTACTTAGAGTTCCTTTATCTGCATCCTGTTATTCTTTCAGAAGTAGGAAGTCTGAAATAATCTGCGTTGACCTCGTTCCCAATAACCGTTACACATTACGTCAACACAGAATATTTCAAAATTCCAACTGTGATAATTTATTTCATATATTCCTGCTTCAGAATCGTTAGGAATAGTTTTGGTTCTGTTTCTATCCATAAAAGCTTTGGATTTAGTTGTAGTTATTTTGATAATGTTAAGACTGGATAAATTGCTTTGAATTTATTGTTAAATCACTGAATAAATTGCTTAAGGATTTAGTAGGTTTATCATTATTAAATTTATTGCCACTGCTATCATTGCTGTTATTAATATGATTATTTTCTTGTAATTGTATATTTTGTATTATTTTGATCATCTAAAACACCTAATGTATATAATAATAATGTATGTATTGTGTTGTGGAGAAGGAGCTTGCGCGTTACGTGAAACGCGAATTCAGTCGGGAGTTCCGTCTCCTGGTAGGTCAGCCATAACGGTCAGGTTTTAGGGAAGGGGACAGACTAAGCACGATCCGACGCTCTATGGGTAGGCGGTCAAGGTGACGTTCAGCGTGCGAGATTAAGTCGCCACCTCCTTTGCAAGCATAATCTTTTCTTTCTTTTTGACACAATTTTCCTGTCTCTTAATCCATTGCTTAGAATTTGGAAGGCATCTTTCGTAATTCCAATACTACTTCGGATATTGGTATCGCATTTTCCGTCCTCTGTTAAAAATCACTAGCTAGATGTTCAAAGTTAGTCCTTTCTTCTTGCTTTCGTTTACTCCCTCCTACCTGTAGGAGGTTTTGTAGTTCCCGTCCTGTGTCTGCTATCAACATTATAACTTCTGCATATCTAATTTTGTTAAGATTTTGACCGCCAATAATGAATCCTGGTAGGATCCATTATGATGCAAGGACTGTCTTAAAATATGAGGAAAAACATTATTAGGAAGAGCGGAAAATAAAAAGATGAAGAGATGTGTCGCTATGTTATGATGTGTTGCATCTAATTACAGTCGAGAAATCTTTCCGTTTTGTGCATATTATTTTTCATTGTTATTTTTGTTTGTATATATATCTTTAATTGTTTATATATATATATATATATATATATATATATATATATATATATATATATATATTGTATTTATTATACTGTTATATTATTAATTAATTTATATTATTTTCTGTTGTATTTATTATATTATATTAGTATGTGAGTTGTAAAGTAAATATTTATTAAAATGTCTGCATTTACACATTAATTCATTTTTCTTGTTTAATAATTTAATTTGAATATTGAAATTTATTATATAAGATTTTTATTCTAAACACAGTCTACATGTTCTATTATTGATATTACATGGGGTACTATATATATATATATATATATATATATATATATATATATATATATATATATATATATAATATAAAATGTTAAAACTAATCCACAAAAAATAGCTTAATGTATATATTATAACCGCAAATAAATAGTAGTAAACCAAAAATTCCAAATTACCTTATATGGGGTATAGACTTATTTCAATCGACGAAAACTGTCAGTCTTATTCAACCCCGGTATATATATATATATATATATATATATATATATATATATATATATATATATATAACGGTTGTTATATTACATGGGTGGCGTGGAGAAGGAAGACGTCCTGAATGGGCAACCGACGATCTCGTATGAAACCTTGCCCAGGCCGGCGTCCTAAAGAGGACACTCCAGAGTCACTCCACCGCGACAGCAAAACACGGAAAGTAATAGTCTACTACTGGGAGGATTCCGAACGTCCTTGTGTATGGTGAACTGATCACCGATAAAAGACCATGAAGGCGACTTCATCTTCGCTTCAAGAACGTCTTCAAAGTGGCGATGCGCGTCGAGAGGTACGAAGAGGTCGGCAACAGTCGCCGAGTCTAGCGACGCGATTTACCCTGAGGGCTGGAGTGAAGAGAGAAGAAACGGAGTGAAGCGAGCTCGAAGAAAAGAAAACAGCACAGCGACATCGGGGTGTGGCGGGGTGTGTGTTTTTTTTTACGTACATTGGTTGCAACCGATGCTGTCACTCGCTAGTGGTCCTGGACAGCTATAATAGATGCTTTTGAGACGCAGATCCATGGTCTCTCGAGATCCAGTGATGCCACACACACACACACACACACACACACACACACACACACACACACACACACATATATATATATATATATATATAAATATAGGTAACTATACTCGTCTCGAAAAAGCTTGAATTTTTGATTTGCCAATAATCAAATCAATCTCGAGGAAAAAAAAAAGGTTTTAAAAGAAAGAAAGAGCTAGAAACATGAAAGTCCGTCGAAAGAAATCGCACAGATACAGGTTTGAAGCCCAAAGAAAAAAAAAACCGGCACGAGTAAACAACTAACTAAAAAGAGCTCAATACAACCGTAGAGCTGACCTAGATAAACCTGGGTAGGTTTGTCCGGCTCACTAGGTTTTTCTCTCTCTCTCTCTCTCTGTATATATATATATATATATATATATATAGTACAGCGAAAAAATCCGTTGGTATATAATCCAAATGGATCATGGTAATATCAAATATAAAAAAAAAACTGATCCACAAAAAAGCTCAATGCATTTATCATAATAGAAACACTAATAAATAGTATTACATAACAAAATACAAAATTACATTATATCATGTAATAAGAGGTAATTTTGGCTTTTGTTGAGTAATAATATATATATATATATATATATATGTGTGTGTGTGTGTGTGTAAATGGATCAGTAATTTTTTATATTTTGAATGTGGACAGGAATGTTGTTGTAGATGTCTCGCAATAGACGAATAGTCAGACATGTCGTATATAAGCCTTCTTGTTAGTGTATTTGTCATATACCTAACATGTATATTTGTGTTTGTGTCTGT